AATTATCGCTTTAGACCTTTCTTCACACTTCAATTCTCCCAAAAAAAAGCCAAATTCGCCCCCCAAATTGTCGCTGTGGACCTTTCTTTACACTTAAATTCTCCCGCAAAAACTTGTATCTTAGAAGGCCACATTGATTCAATAATTGTTAAATATCCATTTTCCCGCCAAAAAAAATTGATAGGGACCCTCACCTGGTTAATTAATTGGATTAAAGTTTTCCCACCAAAAAACTTAGTATATGGCTCACTCCAACCTTGAACTTGTGCCCCCCTTCCCACACTTAGCTTCTGTTGCTAGTTACACTGTTCCAACACATTGGACACGTAACTTCTCCAAACATGTAGTCACCACACTCTGCTACCCAAACACTTAGTTGATCGAGTGCAGTTTTTTCTGCCACTGACTTTAGAATAATCTCTCGCTCTCCTGGTCAGTCAATGCACTAAGTGTACTCCCCGGGGGATGTCTTTTCGGAGACATTGATGCTTCGACACATCAGTATACCAGTGCAATTGACCGAACAGGAGAGCAAGAAACCATTCTAAAGTCAGTGGCGGAGAAAACTGGTCGGTCAACTAAGTGTTTGGGTAGCAGAGTGTGATGACTACATGTTTGGAGAAGTTACGTGTCCAATGTGTTGGAACAGTGTGACTAGCAACAGAAGCTAAGTGTGGGAAGGGGGGCACAAGTTCAAGGTTGGAGTGAGCCATATACTAAGTTTTTTGGCGGGAAAACTTTAATCCAATTAATTAACCAGGTGAGGGTGCCAATCAATTTTTTTTGGCGGGAAAATGGACTTAACAAGGAATGAGTGTGGAATCGGTGTGGCCTTCTGAGATACAAAGTTTTTTTGCGGGAGAATTTAAGTGTTTAGAAGTCTACAGCGACAATTTGGGGAGCAATTTGGCAGTTTTTTTGCAGGAGAATTGAAGTATAAAGAACAATATGGGGGCAATTTGGCAGTTTTTTTTTGCGGGGAGAATTGAAGTGTGAAGAAAGGTCTACAGTGACAATTTGGGGGGCAATTTGGCATTCAACGAAACAATATGAAGAATTTTTCTGGGCTGCTTTTAATGGAATTTGAGTCGCTAGCTACAATTAATGGTTAAATGGCTCCTCGTGAAAAAAGAGAAATGCGAGTGCAAGTGTGTGCGTATGGAGTGTTGTCTCGTGTTAATAAAAAAAACATACTCACACCTCCCCATCTTCTTTTTCACAGGCTGAGATCTGCTGGCTAAAGTCTGGTCCTTCATCCTGCTACAGTCCGGTCTCCGGATCATCCACAATGTCATCTTTAAGACAGATAAACAAAAGTCAGTGCATAGAAAACAGCTTTTGGCCTTGGAATCAAAGTTTAGAAGCAGCAGAACAAAACTATACCCCATTATTCCCAATTTTTTTTGGGGGGGGGGGGAAATGGACTTTTAAAGGAATTAGTGTGGAATTAATGGAGCCTGGCAAGATACTAACTTTTTTGACAAGAGAATTTAGGAGTAAATGTCCTGAAAGTGACAATTTAGCTGTAATACAATACGAAGACGATAACGAAGAGGAAATACTGCGGCTGGCTATTAGAATTTCCTGGCAGGACAATTAAAGTGACAACCAAAGCAACAATTTTTGAGCAATGTGGTGAAATAAAGTCTGTTGAGATAAGAGGGATGGTGTGAATAAAGGTGTGAAGCATTTAAAGGACATATAAATTAACTTAACTTATGGGGCCTTTTAATGCAAAATCCTGTCTGCAAAAGCTGATTTATTAGTTTCTACCAGTCCCACACACTATGGTGTGATGTTTGACTCAAATCAATGATCATGTTTGGTACATGGAGGCGGTATCAGAACACCAATCATCACCAGTCTTCTGGTGCCGCCGCCATCCAAAGTGGACATCGATTTGTATCATGTATGTGGGACTGGTTGAAACCAATGAATCACCTTTTGTAGATAGAATCTTGGGTTAAAAGGAACCAAAACATGAATTAGTTTATTTGTCCTGAGTAAGTTTAAGTGTTTAGGGAAAAGGGTGAAGTGAACAGGGATGTTGTGATTAAAGGTCCAGAGCATTTAATGAGTATATGCACGTTACATGATTAGGTGTACTAGTAAATAGAAATTAACATGGTGGTCAATGTTGCTAGGGTATTCTTTCCCATTGCCAGGCACATTCGTTTGGCACAGTATTGGGTTAATTGAGGCAATTTTCAGCTAAAGAAAAACATTTTAAAACAAAAGTATGCACGTAAAAATCTGGTCAAAATGAAGTTAGCGAGGTGGGAACACCAGTCATTTTGAGCCACTAAAAAGCTAAGTGGGACGCTTTTTGGTTGTGACCTTAATACAGTATAGGACGAGGAGCAATTTTGATGACAGAAGTAGCTTTATTAGATGTCTGCAACTAAATGACAGAACGTGTACTGTCGAAAATGGTCTTTTTTTGTGAAGAGGTACAGGACTCGAAATTAAAGTTGGTCCAATGGCCACTGACCACTAAAATATAGGCTGGGACAACAAAAAAGACACTTTGAGATACTTTTGGGCCAATAGAAAAATAACATCAAAATGTCAGCCCTTCCTTTGTTTTTTTAGGTACCTGCAATTATTATAGAAATTATATATTGCACCTGGAAGTGAATATGGGCAAAATAAAGTTGACTTCAAGTTGAAGTCATACAATACTTTCCAAAATACAGGTTGGGACAGTTCATCCTCACTTCGGGAAAATTGACATTTATTTTCGGGACAATGCTGGGACAATGGGAAAAAAACTTAATTTCGAGACCCGAGACTGCTCCTCTTCTGAGCTTGAATCTAATCTAAAGACTTTATTATTTTCTGATACATGTATGCCAAGAATATCCTGCATACTATTATACATTTGATGTGTACAAAATACCTACAAAAATATTTGGGTGCACTGGTGCATGGTGACCCATAGAAAAAAATTGGGTGCACTAACGTGCACATGCACCCAGTATTTCAAACCCTGCAGTTTTAGACATGTTACCTTTGCCCAAGGATTCTTTACATATAACGGAAAAAAAATAGTTGCAAAGCATCTCACCTGTACAAAATCTAAAATTCACCGTCTTCACATCAGTCAGCTTGTTGAGCCCTCATCTTGTCTGCTCTGGACAGAACTTGCCCGTCATTACAGGTTTCTTCCCGTGAGGACAGCTGGCCATCAAGACGCACCTAAACAACATGGAAAAATTATCAGTGTGATGCAATTACCAGAAAAGATAGTGATAAAATACTACAATGGAACTATTCCTGCACTTGAGCACAGGATGCAGAAAGTATCTGGCTCTAGAAAAGCTCCATACATAAGGCACTAGAGCTAAGTGTTACTGGTGCTACAAATTGTACATGTTACATATAAGTTCCAGTGCACAGTAAACCAGTCATATATATTACGTAGCAGGGAAGAAGATGACAGAATTGGTCCTCAAAACGTTGGCTCTTGTTAAACAAGTAGCTGCGAATGAAGAACTATATGTCTTGATTTAATTTGATTTGATTTATTGAAATTGCAACAGTGCAATACACGCGGAACAGAGGCAGCTGTTG